AGTGACTATATCTTGTTAGACTTACATCCTCCAAAGTTACAAAACATCATATTTGTACATAACTAAATCTAATCCTAATCGGCAAGGAATCCAAATCCTTATTATGCAAGATAACCTTAAAACATAAAATACCGAAAAAACATAATAATAAGCCAAGTAGGGGTTCGTTTGGAAGTGTTTTTAAATGATTGAAACCTTTTTTAGAAGGAAAAAAAAACGTTTTGGTTTCCAAAACACTTGAAGTTCCTGTAAGAAGTACCAATTATGTGATTTTTCATAATTCACGTGCATTTTTATTAAAAATTAATTCCAAAAACACTTTCAACCATTTTAAAAACACTTCAAAAATATCAAACCCTAACTTTTCCAACACTTGAATGTGAAGGAAATGGTGGGACTATAACTGAAATTGGGGCACCCTTCACATTCATGGAGTTTGACCAAAAAGAGAGAGAATGGAGGAGTCCATTTTCTTTGAGAGTTAAATGGTTGATCATGAGAGACCTGGTGCATGGCATTTTGGGGGCCTTGTTCCCAACAATTAAGCTTGATATTTTAATGGTGGTACAAAAACGGAGTTGCCAATGTCATATTATCTTTCTAATTAATGATACCTCCCATGCTGTCTGTTCTTCAATTGTCACAATTAACTTGGACAACGTGGGCTTGAATGTTCAATTGAGTGGTGGACCAATGTGAGCGTATTCAACACAAGGCAAGTATTGTCTGTCCTCCCACTTCCGGTATCCTTATGTTTTGTGTGGTCACGGTTAAATCATATCAACATTTTATATTACTATTCATTTTTATCTTATTATCTCTATAAAAAAATAATATAAAATGTTGACGTGATTTAACCGTAACCATACAAATAGGAGGGCACGGGAAGACATCGAACGTGAAAGGGCAGACAATCCTAATCCTTCAATATAGACGTTGATTTGACAAATTTGAAAAAATAATCAAAATTTAAATCTAAAATTATAGCCACTCTTTCCTTTTTAAAAAAAGAGGAATCATAATAAAAAATTTATCTGAAAATACTAATATACCCTTACTACTCTTAATAACAACTCTAAACTTCTCATATGCGCTTTGACCGTCGAAAACTTTCACTCTGCTTCTCCTCTCCTCTCCTCTCCCACAGAAAATGGTTATGGCTTCTTCTGCAACTTCCAATCTATTCAAGACCATATCAATGGCAGACGCATGCCTAGTCTACCTCCCTTACCTCTCTGCCGCCAAAACCACCAACCCATTTCTCTCAATTCCCTCCAAACCCATAAAGCTCCACCTCTCCTACACTCCCTCTTCGCTCTTCTTGTCGCAGCGGTCCCTTTGGAACAAAACTCACTCCCGTCCTCGCTTTCGTTGCCCAGACCTCGGACTGGGTTCAAGAGGACAACGCGCTTATAACTGATGGAGCGGAGGGCAGTGAGGAAGAAGGGGTCTTTGAGGAGAGTGAGGAGGAGTTGAATGTCGAGCCATCGGAGGAGGTCAAGGTGTTTGCTGGAAATTTAGCTTTTGGTGTTGATAATCAGAAATTGGCTGAGCTATTTGAGAGGCTGGAACTGTCGATGTTGCTGACGTGAGGTTTTGAATTTCTTTGGATTTGTTTTGTAAAAAGCTTTAGTCATGAAGGGCATTTTCGTATTTTCATTTTTTATTTATTATATAATGATTATAATTCAATATGTAGTTCAATTTTTAATTATTTTTTCAAATTTCCTTGGCAAATAGGAGATTAGGATGTGATGATGGACTTATGGTTCAGGGTCGGGAATATACCAAATTAGAAGACGTTTATTTGATCGTATGGTATGCATGTTGTTTGCTTCAGAGTTCAAATGTGCCCTCGACATCGAGCCACATCAGTGACGAATCTAAGATTCGAACACAAAGAGTTTCAATATTAAATATTTAAGTTTTTTTAATAGAAACATAATGCAAAGCGCACATAAAAAATTTCAGTTTATTCACTAAGATATTTTGTCGAACATTTTGTAGGCTTATTATCATCAACCTAATCATGTTGCACACATGTCAACAGATATCGGCATATGCTGAAGCAATCTGATGAGTGTCATCTAGAGAATTTGTCGAGTGCACTCGACAGAGCCTGTTAAATACTACCGCAATATGTCTAGCACATTACGTCAAACATTTAATGGGCACAAAAAAATCCTTCACATGTGTATCTTGGGGCTCAGTGTGGTGGTCCAATGTAATTGACTAATTTGTGGACTTAGGGCGTGTTTGTTTGCCCTCGTTAAAGTTCACTGGATCAGACTACTTTGCTAAGACTATTAATCCCATGTTTGGTGCAAGCTGGACAAAACTTAAATGGGATTAAGTTGGACTCGTTCTGACTTAGAGCTTCGCTAAGTCGTCCTAGTGAGACCCCACAAAAACCACGAGAATGCTAATCCCGTCTCCAACATTGTTTGCACACCTTTGTCATCTGCAACTCCTACTCCCTTGCCCTTGTCTAGATCTGAAACCCATCCCCCACCTACTGCCTAAATCTCAAAATCCAACATCTAAAATTCCCCCAAAAGCACATGCAGACGAATCTCCCGAACAAATTCAAAACAAAAATGAAAAATCACCAGAAAATCAGAGGAGGGGTTGGGTGGTGAGCTCTGATGAATCCTCTGCATAAGGAAAAAAGGGAGAGGTTAGGGAGAGAGTGGACAGTGGAAAATAGGGGATGGGAGGAAGATGGATGGAGGAAAATATAGAGATGTATACGGAGAGTGGAAGAGAATTCTAGAAAATGGTGAACCAGATGAAAAGAGGGAGAGGGGAGGGAGAGAGCAGCGGAGGAAAGAGGAATGGGTTAGAGTGATATGCTTGAAAAAAAAAATAGTGGCCATTAGATAGGTGTTTCTAGAAACAAGTAAAATGATAGAATAATAATAAAATATTAATAGTTATTCTGCTTCTTAGTTCAACATTGCACCAAACGCTTCACTAAGTCAGTCCAGTTTAGTCTTGTTTAAGCCAGTCTAGCTTAGTCCCTGAAGCTAGTCCAGTGTAACAAACGCACCCTTAAGGTTTTCATATAAATTGGAAAATAAGATTTCCTCTGCAGACTGTTGCAAAAAATCGAACCTGGCTTCTTTGCCCTCCTAGTTCCCATACACTCTCATCCCCTCCTATTTTGTGTGGTCCCGGTTAAGCCACGTCAACATTTTATATTGATTTTTTTTTATAGAGATAATAAGACAAAAAGTAATAGTGATATAAAATGTTGACGTGGCTTAACTGTGATCGCACAATAGGAGGGGATGAGAGTGTATGGGAACTGGGAGGTCAGAGAAGCCAGATCCCTAAAAACCTACAGGCTACATAGCACAGAGAGACCAAAAAACCAAAATATATAAATAAATAAATAAAAAATAAAAGTCGCTCAGTACTACGGTCTTGTGGTATTCCTCTTCACTTGAAGAGGTCTTAGGTTCGAATCTCGTGAATGACAAAATTAGGTTGCCTATTGTGTAACTTAGTCGAACTCTAATTCTTTTTAATGTAAAAACATCGATATACTTAAAATAAATAAATAAATAAATAAAGTTGTGAGAGCGACACCACGACGCTCCCCATGTTCACGCGTCCTGATGCCGTTGTTTTCCAATTCGTCCGGTTCATTAGCACCAAGCACCGCCGCGATGGGGTCCCACCGCGCAGATTATTAGCCTCTCTGCATACGCCACGTCGTATGCGTATTGTTAACGGTAAGCAAGACACTAACGATAGTCGAGGGGGACTTCAACGGCTACAAGTCTTGTTTTGTTTTCATCCGAGACTTTTCGAGGTCGTTCCGTTATAATTTTCAACGCCGCAAAATTGGAGCTGGAATTTAAGGCATATTTACAAGGGTACCCCACCTTTATGCCCCATCAAGAGCAAGGTTCCTCTCATGCTAAGCTGTCCTAATAATTTCCAACCATATCTTGTGGTTTTTCAGTTAATAATTATGTTTATTGCAAATTAAAAATGGGCAATTTTTACCAAAAAAACAAAAAACAAATAATAACTAGCCTTATTTTACTAAGTGTGGTCAGTTGTATGAATATTAAAATGTCATTAGCTATAAGTACTTTATATTTTCTCTTATAGTTTCTTTCCAAGCCTTCTTAGGCCGTCTTCCACCATTTTGGTCTTGAGTTTTCATCTATAGTCGCATCTTCTAACCGATGCATCTATAAGTTTTCAGTGCACATGTCCAAACCACCTTAACCGATTTTCTCTCATCTTATCTTCAATTACTGCCACTCCTACTTTATCTAGAATATCCTCGTTCTTAATTCTATTCTTTATTGTGTTCCCACACAACCAATGCTCGTTCACATTTTCGCTAGCCTCCTTTTTTTTTTTTTACCAAAAAAAATAAAAATAAAAATAACGTAGAAGGAAGCTTAATGGGGGCAATGACACAAAGTGCTTTCTTTTCTAACAAAACTTTGGTAAAGAGAGTGTAAAGTTTAAAATCATTGCAACTTTTTTGAAGAAACCTTTTTTTCTTCTTTCTTGGTTAAAGGCTTGAAGCCTTAAGGAAAGTTTAAAGTGGTGGAACTGTTTATGTGGTGGAGATTGCATTATAATCCTACATATCGTATATCGTTTTAGTTTATTGTACATGTCAATGCATATAATCATACATAAAAGCAAAGTGCCATTATATGTAGTGGCGTATCCCCAATTACATCAGCTAAGAAATTGATTTCTCTAAAAGTAAGGTTCCAGGAAAAAATGTGTAAAAACAAGGCAATTCATCGAATATATATTCAATAATTACCTTTAATCTTCAAGAGACTTCGTAATTTTTGAAAAAGAAAGATGATCATCAGCAGTTAATGCATGTAAATTTTAGTAAAGCAAAGGAAGTGGCATGTGCTGGTAATATACGTGCAAGAAAGGGTGGTTTCTGTAGCTCAAATCGAACTTGATTCTCCCTTTTTTTTACCTCCTTTTCACTATAAAGAAGCCCCACCAAAACCAAACCTTGGAAAAGTACCGTCTCTTGCTCCCATGGCAAATCTCACCTCCCTCCTCCTCTTTCTCACCACTCTCCTCTCTCTCCTGCTCCCTTCTCTCTCATATAAACTCACCATCCCTCTCTTCCCATTCCCCAAACCACCGTCCACCGATCTACTCCAATCCCTCAACTTCCATGCCGCCGCCTCCCTCTCCCGAGCCCACCACATCAAAAACCCCGAAAAATCCCCCCACCCTTCTCCCTCCACCCAAGTCCCCCTCTTCCCCCACAGCTACGGCGGATACTCCGTCTCCCTCCGCTTCGGCACGCCGCCGCAAACCACCTCCTTCATCATGGACACCGGCAGCAGTCTTGTCTGGTTCCCCTGCACCAAACACTACACTTGCTCTCAATGCCAGTTCCGAAACATCGACCCCACAAAAATCCCCACTTTCATCCCCAAACTCTCCTCCTCCAGCAAAATCGTCGGCTGCAAAAACCCCAAATGCGCTTGGATTTTCGGCCCCGAAGTCGAATCCCAATGCCCGAATTGCAACGACCCAACTCGCCAAAACTGCTCCCAAGCCTGCCCACCGTACATACTCCAGTACGGTTCCGGCATAACAGCTGGGAGTTTACTTTCCGAGTCCCTAAATTTTCCCGAGAAAATTGTCCCTGATTTTCTCGTCGGCTGCTCGTTCTTCTCCATCCGGCAGCCAGCCGGAATCGCCGGATTCGGCCGCGGAACAGAATCGCTGCCGTCCCAAATGGGGCTCTCCAAATTCTCTTACTGCTTAGTCTCCCATAAATTCGACGACACCCCACAAAGCAGCGACCTTGTTCTGTACACCGGCGGCAGCAGCGCCGACGATCCCCGAAGAAACGACACGAAAGCTCAGCGCTCGAGCTACACGCCGTTTCAGAAAAACCCAGGTCCTCCAAACTCTGCATTTCGCGAGTACTACTACGTACTGCTCAGAAAAATCATCGTGGGCAAGAAACACGTGAATATTCCGTACAAGTTTCTCGTCCCCGGAGCCGACAGCAATGGCGGGACGATCGTGGATTCCGGATCGACCTTCACGTTCATGGAGAAGCCGGTTTTCGAAGCCGTGGCGCAAGAGTTTGAGTCACAGATGGCGAATTACACGAGAGCAAAGGACTTGGAAACCAAAACGGGATTGAGACCCTGTTTCTATATTTCGAAAGAGGAGAAGTTGGACTTTCCGGAATTGGTTTTCCAGTTCAAAGGGGGTGCTAAGATGGAGCTGCCATTGACGAATTACTTTTCGCTGGTTTCGAGCTCGGGGGTTGCGTGCTTGACGATTGTTACTGATGGGGTTATTGGTCCAGAGCGTAATGGTGGACCTGCCATTATTTTGGGGAATTATCAGCAGCAGAATTTTTTTGTGGAGTATGATTTGGAGCGTGACAGGTTTGGGTTCCGGAAACAGAACTGTAAATGATGAGGCTCCGTCACATTAGACCGATTTACTTGAAACGGCTACACCGTTATTGTGACGAGAGGAAAAATAAAGGGTGCAAAACAAGTTTTTGTGCAGTGACGAGAAACGATGATGGCAAGTTGTAGAGAGGATAATAATTGTGTCTTTTTTTACATTAGTGATAGTTTTTCACGATGGAGAAGAAGTTTTAATTTGCTTTCTCGATTGCAGAAATTAAGCTTAAATTAGTGCTTCAATCAGCATTGTCAAGCTTCACATTGTTATCAATATGCATAAAGTTCTCTCTTTTGTATATGACAACTCAATCTGTTTGGAAGTGCTTTTAAAATGATTGAAATTGCTTCTGATGAAAATAATTTTAGAGTCCATCCGTAGTAAAAATGCAAATAAATCTTGAAAAAACACTTCAAATGATTCTTATAAGAAATACATAATTCTTTCGAGAAGCACTTTTAAGTATTTTTGAGACTCAAAATTATTATTTTTTAAATATTTTCAATCATTTTTAAAAAGATAATACTTGAGTACCGATTGCCACACTAACTTTACTAACATCCCAACAGTCCAATACAATAAAGACACCTTTAACTCTCCAACCAAACATTCTTCTTCTCCCTCATCCAACACTGAATCCCTCTTCTCCGGCGGCCCACCAGCAAACTATCTCTTCTCTGGTGACCCCAATCCCTCTTTCATGCGATCCACCCCAATCCCTTTCTTCTACAGCGACTGTGATCGTCGTCCTCCGTTGTGGACGACGGCGACCTGTCATCATCAATCCAGAGAGTTGATCTTACCATTTGATCTCAATTAGTTTGTGAAAGAATTTGCAATGTTTTTGCCGGTCTGGAGCGGACTGTGGGCAGCGAGAGGTAAAAGAAGGATGTTTGGTATGAAGAACTAGGGATGTTTGGTTGCTCTGAGAATTAATTCATCTTTAATCTCCAGAACTGAAGAATTAATAGGGATGATAATCCAAACCGTTATGTCTGATAATCATGGATAATCGCTCGAATTGAGCGGATTTGGATATGAAAATTTGGATATATTATGAATATAGGAAAAACCGTGAATTTTTATCGGTTATGATTTTGAACATGATTATAGGGCTCCTAATCTGAATTTGGAGATTCGTATCCATCTTCGAATCGAAACCAAATAATATATTTAATATATTATATAATAGTGTTCACCTAACCCTATACTATATTCCTTATTTATCAAATCCTATACTATATTTCTTATGCACCAAACATATCATCAATGTTTTATTCAATACTCTAAAAAATTCATTCATTGTTTTGTTTTTTAGTATTAAACGTGGCTATTTAATGACCAAATTAGTATATACTAAATTATTATGCACCAATCGAATGAGTATAATTTTTTTTTTTTTTTTTGAAAGATGAATATAACTATTAACTGATGAAAATCGATTATCCGGTGGGTATGTTATGGATAATCTCTGATGGTTAATTTGGGGTTATGAATATGATTAATTTTCGTGGTTATAAGAATCAATATAACATTTTCGTTTCCAAACCGAACCATTGCCATCCCTAAGAATTAATCATCACATGGCTATATTTAATATTTAAAAGGTTTAGAGAAAAGTAGGACTACTTCGTATTTTTCATAACAAACAATAAAATAATTACGTTAAATTCTCCTAAATTACGAGAAAGATATATGAATTTAGATGTAGAAGATGTACTACAATACTCTAGTCAATTTAATTAAATTCAAATGTACGTACCTATCTTCATTTGTAAATTAATCTGTTTTTCCCAGAATCATTTTTCTTCCTGTCACTTTCCCCTTAACTTTCTTGCCCCTTGACTCTCTGGTCAACAATCCAATTCATTACCCTAGCTTAATCTATATTTTCATGCAATTCTTAATTAACAATTAATAATATGCAAAACTACACCTTGCAATTGCAACGCTATTTTCATACCATTTATTTTAATTATGTTTAGACAAATTTTTTTTAGTGTATCGAGAACACAGTTCAATACATCAAATATAATAATACAATTAGTTAAAAACTTAAAAAAACTCAACTAATTGTATTATTACACTTAGTGTTCCAAACTGTATTTTCTGCACACTAAAAAATCTCTCATGTTTAGACAGCTAAGCATTCAAAGTTCTATTGTATTATTTCCTTTAGCAGTTCAATATTTTAATAGTACCTAATTAGGATTAAAGAAGATAGGTATGTAATTAAGCGAAACTAGGCAAGTAGAATATTGATACATGTTTAGCAGCTCCCTAGATCACCGGCAAATGCAACCTTTTCATCTTAACTCCACAGTTGGCAAATCTGTTGTTTTTTAGGTGAGAGTTTTATATTTAATCAGCTGCATATACATATATGAGCACCGTCCGACACATTTGTGAATTTCACATTACCTAAAACATGAACTTTATTAGTTGAACCAAAAACAAGACATGAACCTCATTACCCTAATGTAATTAAACCCGATTTTGATCCGAATCCGATTAAGTACTAGGGAATGAATTAAGATTTTCAATCTGATAATCTTAGCCATGTTTGGATAAGAGACTTTCAAAGTTTTAATATTAGGCTATATCGTTAAAAAAACACTACAAGAAAGAATAACCATATGAACTCTTCACACACTTCAAATTTCAACGTACATAAAGATACCTAAATTGTAACTAAGTCTAGATTCTTGATTAGATTTATTCTTAATATCTTGACGTGATGTCTAATTTTACAATCTATTAATATGAGCATTCGCTCAAAATTTATCATCTTTCTCACATAAAACATACACACGCAGTTGAATGTTACACATATAATTCATGTGCAAGCGTTTGATAATTTGAACTACTCAGGTCCCAAAAATAACCAGGCCAGGGTGGAACCCCATACTATTTATTAGGCTTAGTAACTCCTCAAGGAAGAAAACAGACGCATGGATAAGTAGCTTAGGACCACAACAATTCGAGGAAGCATAGCAGAGTGGGTCAAATTGTTTGATATATGATGAGGAGGATGACCATAGCCATCTATTTCTCATCCACTGCATGTGCTTAGTGCAGGAAGTTTTTAAAGGTCAGATTTTAAATTTCTCATACGATTTCTTCCACCGTTTTTGGTCGGTAGTCATTTTCTCAAGTGCTAATAAGAACACTACAAGACTTGGATGTAGGGGAATGATGTTATCTTTTTACCAGTAGGGGAATGGATGTTATAAACTTATAGGTCATTGCTTGGACATTTTTGGAAAATTTTGAAATTATGTTTTTTGAAGACTTCCAATTGCTTTTTCTTAGACTCTTAAAATGGAGAGGAGTTTGAACAGTGAAATGATTTTTTTTTTTTTTAATGCAACGATATATTTACACAAAGTAATGGGAGAGTAAAGTGGTATTGAACTCGTCATTCATGAATTCGAAAGTAAGAAACTCTCACTTTCAGATAAAGAGAAATATAACTAAATCGTAGTATTAAGTGGATAAAAAGTCTTTAATCGATGCAAAACTTGGGTAGTTTTAATTTGAAAAATAATTTTCAAACACCTTTTTTCTTTTTTTTTCTTCTACACACCTTTATTTATTTATTTTATTGATTTTGCTCCGGCTTATTCAATCTGAAATGGTAAAAAATAAATAAGAGTATCTAGGGAGGAGAAAGTGAGGGTGTGAAAATTGCTCCCCTTCAAATTTCCTCTAGATTTTTCTAAGAAATTGTAAAATGCAGCTAGCTGGACACCTAACCAATAAAGAGGGATTTCCTTAGTATGATTTCAAGGAAATAATGTTATGAACATAGTGGTTAAGGTTAAACCTTATTCATGTGGGGAAGGTCCTACTTCAGCTGCTAGCTAGAATACATAAAATTATGGCAGAGAAAAAATCCCATCCCGTAGAAAAATACCAAAGTGAAAAATAAGTCCCGTAAGAATACAAAAATTAGGTTTTTGTTCAACTTGTCGTGGTGGATAAGTGAGATATTTGAAGATTGGAAAGACATGCACGTGATTCAAAAAGAACAAAAGAAATGAGTCACCAAATAAGGACCCGACCTGTGGTTTGCTTTTGGAATCTCCACTCACCAACCATTATTTGCCAAGAGAAGTGTTTTGTGGGGTGCTTTAGTACTGCTTGCTAGGCATATGGCATGTTCGATCACCTTCTCATGACAAGAAAGGACGGTTTGATCCAATAATTAATCTTTTTTAGCTTGTCTCATCGCATCAGTCAAACTTCATGTAATAGTTATAGGCTGGCCTGCATAATCAAACTTACTCTGAATTGTAATTGAATTATGTTTTACGTAATTGTCGTTTGATCGATTCATGTATGCATGCGTATAGAAATTGACGTACGTTGACGTAGATAAAATCAAAATACCTAACTCAAAATTAATTTAACAAAAAAATAGAAAGTAAAACAACATAATATTGCGTTGGGTACCTTATACGTTATATACAATTTACAAGACTTTACTTTCCTAATGTAAAATAATTCACAGAATCTTGGACAAAAAAGTTTTCTTCTAACCGGCGCTCGTGATGTACAAAAGAACAACCTAGCTATGGCATTAGTTCCTTACAATTTTGTCACGTGATATATTGGGACCCGGATGCTGCATGTTTGCAGTGACTATTTAAATAAGTTGGAGCTATACGGTTGAACTCACAGAAATATCATAGAAGTTACCTATATATATACAAAGATATTTGTTTTATCCAAATTAGTATCTTGGCTTTCAATGGTGTATGAGAAACTACTGTATGTTAGTAGAACACAACGATGTGGTATTAATATTATATTTTAGAATACAAACGCATTTTCACTCATATGATAAAGTATGCGTGAATTAATTAGTAACATCACATAACAAAATTGTAGTATCCTACTAAATAAATTTTTTGCTACTTGGGATGAAACCGGATTGTACATTTTTCCCCAGACTTTTTGACCAGATAAAATAAAAAAGATCTTGACCTTCCATTGTTCGTACATACCATATACCATAACATGGTAGAGTTTTCGCGTTTCATTTATACAGGCTAGAAAAGTAGCAAAGGTTATATAAACTTCTTGTTCCTGATTATGCATGATTAGACCATCTCCAACTTTTGGAGTAAAACCTAAAATTTTTAGCCCAGAAAATTTAGGTTTTAACCCAAAAACAGTTTTTCTATTCCAACCCTTCTAACCTAAATTTTTTAGCTCGAGGTTATTAAAGAATAGATTTGGGCTAATTTTTATTTAAAAAAAAATTATGTACACTATACTAATTTAATTTTATGAATATTTTA